AGAAGGTCATTCAAAGGTTCCCGTCATAGTCAAGTAACTTTGGAAGAATTCTTTCCGCAATACTTTCTTCAAGCAAAAGCCGAAAGGTTACCAGCCATTTCACGTGAAGAAAAGAGTCAAAAAATTGCTACATGTTGCACAACTATGACGTTCACGGACGAGGATTTGTTGCTAGGGTCAAAGCCTCATAATCGTCCGCTTTTTGTCTCGGGGTTATTGCATGAGAAAAAGGTCGACCGCATTCTTATAGATGGAGGGTCAGCGGTCAACATCATGCCAAAGTCGACTTTGAAACAAGTGGGGATCGCAGTTGAAGACCTGACACGTAGTCGTTTGACTATTCAAGGCTTTAATCAAAAGGGTCAACGAGCAATTGGCATGGTTAGATTAAATCTCACGATTGGAGAACTAACCGTCAGTACACTATTCCATGTGATCGATGCAAAGACCTCTTATCACTTGTTATTGGGAAGGCCATGGCTTCACGGAAATGGAGTTGTTCCATCTACCCTTCATCAATGCTTCAAATACTTGAGGAATGGAGAGTTAGTGAGAGTCGATGCTAATACAAAACCATTCACTGAGGTTGAATCACATTTCGCCGATGCTAAACTTTATGTGGACTTAGACTCGGCGCTAGAAGATTTGGTAGTAGGGGACACACCTATGAATGATAGTGGCACGAAGTTCGAGAAGTTAGTCACTATAATTGAAGCCCCGGCGTGCAAAATCAACAAGCCCATAGAGAAATTCGATTTGCCGGTATTCCCATATGTTCATCCGTCATGCCAAAAAGAAGGACACATTTTGTTCAATGATTACATTTCATTGCCATCTAATGTACAACCACATAAAGTGGAATCGAGTCATTGGCGAATCATCAAGAGGGAGTTGATTATGCCTATAATCTTCTTAAGCCCGTTAGCCCGTAAGAAAACGCCATCCGCGCTCGTTCAACATCCAGGAGTTCAAGGAGAGTTCAATCCAAAAGCATATAGTCTCCTAGCCAAGTGTGGGTACAACTTCTCTAGCTTGTCACGATTAGGTAAACTAAGACCCGAGTTAACGGGAGAAAAGATCCACAGACTCAATAAAGTACAAAGGGCATTGAGAAGACAAGGCTTTCATGTTGATCAACCTAGAGTTGGTTTGAGATTCACTCCGATTGAGCCATTTAGAACACGCGTGTCAACGAAAGAAGGATGCGTCAACGTCCAACATATCACCGTAAATGATGGTGGAAAACAAAAGAAAAGCGCCAATCGTGTTTCTGTTTTTGATCGACTTGGTGCCCCTGTTGCTCGAGCTTCTGTCTTTGAGAGGCTTGGACCTTCTAATCATGTCTCCAATGTCCATAATAGACTGTCTCCAAGTGGTACATCTGTTTCCACACGTCTTGGCGGCCGTAAAGGGCAACAACAAAGGAAAAGGGACCGTGATGAGAAAATAGACGAATTGGAATTGAGAAGTGAAGCTCAAAGTCCTCTGTCACTTCGACCAAATAGAAAAGATTCATCGATCCTGCTTATTGCCATAAATGGAGCGGTGAAGGTGAAGCAACGCGTCATCAAACATCATGTTCCAGTATGCGAAGATGCTCAAAATGAAGATGAAGTGGAAGTCAACGTTAGCTCATATTATGCAAGCGTTGTTGACGATCTGAATCCAAAGCTAGCATTATCCTTGAAGAAACATCTCCTTTTGGAGAAGAGAACATGATAAATTAAAGTGAAATGTTCGCTTGAACTACGTTATGACTTGATCCCTTTAAACAGGGTACGTAGGCAGCTTAGACCCATATTCTAAGTTCAGTCAAACCAAAAAAAAAAAAAAAAAAAGTTATAAGTTGTTCGCTCGTACTACGTTATGACTTGATCCTTTTGAAGTGGATGCATAGGCAGCTTAGATCCATATTCTAAGTTCCGTCAAAAAAAAAAAAAGAAAAAAAAAAAAGTTTTTTCGCTTGGGGGCAAAGTAAACAAGAGAAAGAAGAATATTTATTTAAGGGAAGAAACATGGTACAAATTGCTTTAGTACACAAATCCATGCACTTGAAGGGTCAAGAGACTTTTCAAGTTTGTGCCATTTGGTTAAAATAAAATTTTCGGCGAAGTCCCTATTTAAAATCCCTGAAACCAAAAAAAAAAAAAAAAAAAAAAAAAAAAACTGGGAGGAAGAGCGGCAGTCTCGTCGTTGACCAAGCTGAGGTGAATTCGGAGGTCTAGTCCGTCTTCAGCAACCAATGTTAATTCCACAGAGAATCAAGAATAGGTGGAAATCAGAAGCTTATTGGAGAAACTCAGTAGGTGACGTCGTGCAAGCGCAACACACCTTTACTCTCCATGTTTGCCCGTCCGTCGTCACGATTGCGAGAGTACTACCCAGAATTTGTTACAAATCTGAAAATCGTATTCGCCTCCATACCATCACTTCGCACAAACTCGAAGTCCATCATTGACGTCTCGATTTTGGTGTTGTTTAGGGGTCTATCTGTGTAATCCCAAAATGCCAGAGATAGAACAGCGACAACCACTCCACATACGCCTTTATCTGTATCGTTGTGCGCCGCCGTTTTCGGAGTTGTTCCTCTTCCAAACGCCTTTATCCGTATCGTTGTGCGCCGCCGTTTTCGGAGTTGTTCCTCTTCCAAATGTCGCTGCCGGCTGCCACTTGATGTGTGAGGAGAACTCCATTTTTTGCTGCAACACTCCTCTGCCCGTTAAGGTCGCACATCTCCAAACACCACCATGCGCACCTGAGAAAAGGGATATAAGACCCCAAGCTCGCATGTTGCTTAAGACTGCCTATTCTTGCCAGGGAAGTCAAAGGCGCTGATGTTTCTCCTTTCTGACTCATTTCCGTCTCCGTCTATGGAGTGATCGATAGTGCACAAAGGAAGTCCTCTTCATCGTCGTCTCAAAGGAAAAATAAAGAAACAAACCCAAGTACACAAAGTAATTGTTCTTGGTGGAGGTCCTCGGAGTTGTGGAGTCTACGCTCTATCATGCCACGACGATGGTTAACTGTTCCTGCCGATCATTGGACTTGCGGGAGAATTGTGAAGATGGCCAAAAAAAAAAAAAAAAAAAAAAAAAAAAAAAAAAAAATTGAAGTCGATTTCTAAATTTTGAAGTGATGCTGGTTGACAACCTCTGGAAGTGCTAGAAATAGTTTCGACTTTTATGAAGTAGAGACAAAATTATTTTTTTCAAAGATGCCTGCCGGCTGATATCTGCAAGAAAGATATATAGTGATCAATGAATTAAGAGAAATATACATGATTGAAGGCATTCTCCAAAAAAAAAAAAAATAAAATAAAATAAAATAAAAATCTCTTTTGGTCGATTCGTCGAACATGTTGAGCGTAGATCGTGTAGTTGATCAGCGTGTGATATAATTTGGAGCACCCTATGATCGAGCAAAACACTACAGGAAAAAAAACGAAACGGTTTGCACTATTGTTTGTTGATGCTGTTTGTTCACTGCGTTGAATGAAACCGGAGCTTCATTTTCTACTCCTTTTATAAGCTTGGAGTTATGCTAGAGGAAAATGAGGTTTTGATTCTCTTCCAACTTGCTGATCAAGAAAACAAAGGAAGGTAATTTGGTTAAGATCCGCTTTCCTGCTAACCGTACCCATAAGCATGGAAAAAGAAGATTTTAATTGAAGAAAATAGATTTGGTGGATATTGCACTGCTCAATTGAAAACTTCTAATTACAGCCTGCCAAGGAAATCATTAAAGGCAAATATCTTCTGAGATTTGGACATGGAAGGAATTTCCTCAATTTTATTTGTCAAAAGGAAAAGATCTGTGGATAATTCTACTCTATTGTCTGCCGTTTCAACAATTTGGAAGAAAAGGTAACCTCGATAATCATATGTTTAGCCTACAAAGACTTAAATGGTGGGGGCCCATAATAAATTCTTACAAAAAAAAAAAAAAAAGGAAAAAAATGAGATAAAGAAGTTTACTGCGTAATTGCTGCTGCTGCTATCCTATACTGTCCAAGTGGGCCATTAAATATTTTGTGGCTAATTCTCATATCAAGAATCTACAAATTGCTATTGAGCTCCTCAATTAAAAGAAGATGGATTTTTCAATCAAGTCCCCAAAGTGAAGGCGATGCCACATTAAATCCTATAAGTCGGGTTTAATAATTAAAAAATAATAATATAATAATACTTCAAGTCTCGTCTTCCACAGGCATTTGACGTGTTCTCCGACGAGTCTTGAAGTGGGGGCATTTGTTGGCGTCGAAATCGGGATTAAATTACAAATTAATGACCTAAATAATTTGGTTATTAATTTGGATCTCGATTAATAGTCCATAATAAAATTTGGGCTTTATATCGAAGTCCACACTAAATTTGGACTTTGCAAATATATCATATGGGTTAACACAAAATGAGTACTAAATTCCTATTCTTGGGTTAGCTATTTGGGCTCACAAAATATGGCCCACAATAAATAAGTTGCAGGTGTCTGAGTCCACCGGCCCAAGTCTAAGTCAAGAAACCCTAAATCGTGTCTATAAAAGGAGGTATCAAACACACACAAAAGGACATACGAGGAGACCGACACAAGCATCAAGCAAGGCGTACATCAAGCACTCAAAAGCTCTCAAGTCTCGAGCTCTTGCCACGACGAAGAACAACAACCGAGGAGGTTCTACATCTTCATCAAGGCACCATATCCACAAGACCTAGAAATCCCCAAATCGATTTCTAGATATTCATATCTACTTCCGCAAATCAACGGAGGAATCAAACTCTCAATTCAAGAACAAGCTTCGGCCCTTGGATTAAATCTAGGAGAAGAATCAGAGGAATCAACAAAGATTGTAACCCATTTCGTTTTGATTAAAATATATTTATTTGTTCCTATTTTTTCTTGTCTTGTAATTTATTTTGCAGACATTTAAATTTGAGGTTAACAATATACATACATATATATATATATATATATATATATATGTATGTAGGCTCTCACCCAATCAACTAACAACATGTCTTCCTCTGACAAGTGACGAGCTCAAGAAGAAATATGCCATAACTATACACATCAGATTGCACCGAACAAATACCATCGGAGAGGTATTCAGGAGCTACATGACCAAATGTTCCGCCTACATTTTTTTCCACACGTGTAACACCGTGGTCCGTGGGTATGGCCAACTCAAAGTTACCAATAATTGCATCAAAGTCCTCGTTCAAATATATATTTGCAGCTTTGACGTCGCGATGGATGATTTTACTCTCACATTCATCGTGCATGTAGGAAAGACCCCTTGCAGCCCCCAATGCTATCCGTTTTCTTACTGGCCAATCAAGTGGAGGTTGTGACTTCGGTCGATCTGCAGTAACAATTTTTATTTGAAACATTTTTCCTCCGTTTATTTTTTTAATTTACCAACAAATTTTTCATATATACCTTTTAAACGAGCATAAAAACAAAGAAGAATTGACTTCTCGATGCCTTGATTGGAAAACTCTGAGCTAATCATGATTGTGGTATTAATATTAGAAAAAAAAAATCCTCTTACGATTCATTACTCCCTAAAAAGTACCATTTAGAGGATTACGAGTTTTAAAAAAATAGTCTATTACAAATAAGTCCATCATGTTACTTATTATAAATGGGTGCGATAAAAAACTCTTTTACAAAAAAAAATCAGTCAATATCTAGAGGTGTGTAAATGACTAAAATATCTCAATTTGACTCCAAATTTCACCAATTATTACCTCTTAAGCATGATCCAACAGTTATGTTGACCATGAAGGGATAAACGAGCAGCTTTTCATTTTGCGTAATGCAAACACCGACCAAGCCAAGTATATTTGGATGAACAGCAATTCTCATCGTTTCGACTTCTGCTTTGAGAAGCGGCTGTGCACGTGAGATGCCTTGCTGTTCAAATCTTTTAACTGCCACTATAAACCCATTTTCTAACTCGCCTTTATACAACTTACAAAATCCCTTTCTACAACAGATATTTCCATGTGCGAAATTTTCTGTTGCAGTCTTCAGTTCTTTTAGAGAAAATCTTCTAACTCCTGCTGCAAATGCCCACCTCACCCCAGAATTAAAATCCAAAATAAGTGACATAGGAAACATATTTATATGTCTATATATTTATGGGCAAATTACGGCCACACCATTGAGGTATGGCCAAATTACGAAAATCAAACCCTCTTGTTGGGTAATTACAGCCACCTCCTCATTCTGAATATTTTTATATAAAATTTATGTAATTCGGTTATTTACCGAACCAAATCGTATATTCAGTTCGGTAAACGGTATGAAATGTTGGCGTACCAAATTTTGGTTCGGATTTTACCGATTTAACATCCCTAAATTTACCTCTGGATGAGTATTTTCGAAAGATAATACATAGTTGAGGGAAGTGGCTGTAATTACCCAAATATGAGGGGAATTTTCGTAATTTGACCATAACTCAGGGGGACTGCAAAACATTAAAGTTTTTTGAACCGAATGTAATTTATTAAGGGTCCATTTGTATGGAGGGATTTCAAATCCATAATAACAAATCCCTTGAACTTGTTTGGATTGAAGGATTTGGGGATGAATTTCAAATCCACACCCCTCCTTCATATAGTTGTTTTTGGAGCAATTGAGGTGGATTTCAAATAACTCCAAATTGGAGTCATTTCAAATCCCTCTCCAAATCCCTCCATCCAAACGGACTCTAATATCCTTCAGGGTAAATAGCACTTAACCCCCCTATGGTTACAAGCTTTTGCAGATGACTCCATCGTGTTTTTAATATCAACACATAACCCCCTCGTGGTTGATGGGGTAGCTTCCGTTAGTTTTTCATCAAACATCAAGGTAATTTTTTTGCAAATGACCCCCTTGTGCAGTCATTTTCCTTTTCATTTTTGCAGACGACCCCCTTCAAGTTTGACGTAAAAACTAAATGAAGCTACCCCATCACAAGGGGTTATGTGGTGATATTACAAAAACAGAGGGATCATATGCAAAAGCGTATAAACACAGGGGTTAAGTGCTATTTACCATATCGTCAAACAAGACTAGTAGAAAGAGGGTATAAAGACGAACCTTGAGAGGCAGACGCTAACGGTGGGTTATTGAGGGGTAGTGGAGATACAGATATAGCTTCTGCTTTCCATATGTTCCTGGAAATACTACTGAAAAATTAATCATGAATTATTAGCACATCAAAGAAAACATCTCTCCTTTGAAATTAAAAAATAATAAATTACTCGAGAAATTGTTGGTTGAAATCGTCATGATCATCATCGGATGCTATGGTGCTGATGCTTGGGCTCCTCGAGTGGTCGTGAAATAGTTCCCAAATCTGATGTCTTCGGACAACTGCCGTCACTAACCTATCCCAGCTGTCCCTAGACGAGTACATCTCTCTAATCTCTACTCTCTCTCTCTCTAACTAATCTCTCTCTCTAGGAATCTCTACAGTGTGCAATTCACGATTCACAGTACTGTAGCCTTCTTCTCTCGTTAAAGTCAAGCACAGTGGTGATTGCCGGCCTAAGTGTGTAGTGTACGTTACAATAGATATTTAAAGATCGCTAAGCAAAATTACGCAACACAGTCTCACCGAACCCCATTTTTGTTTGACCATTTTGCACATGCATGGAGTAGTAACAGAATTAATGAAAGGACTGCATCACCCCTGTAAGTTGGTCGTAATTACGTCCGAACCAAGTGCATCACCCCTGTATACAGAATGGGGATAATTAAACTTTTTTTCCCTATACTTTACCACATAAATGATTTTAGTCCTCAAACTTTCACTGCCACGAAATTAGTCCTCAAACTTGTCACGAAATAAGTCCTCAAACTTGCCACTTTTTCACATTTTTTGTTCGCCCGTCGCATTTCCAAGTTAACCTGGGTGAACTTGTCACGGGTTGCGCACATGACGTTCATTTGGCAGTTAGTCGAGCTGGAAGACACCTCCAATCCACCTCACACTCTTACCTAGGGCTTGGATTGGGTTGGGTCAAACGATTACCAGCCGAAAATCGACCCATCCGACATACCAAATGTTGCTCAAATTTAAAAACCATTGCCGACTCAACCTTTGTGGGTCGGTTGATAGTTGGCAACCGAATATTTAGTTCCGAAATTGGTCGCTTGATGACTATATCAACCACCTAGTTTATTTAGAATAAATTAAAATTTTGGCCTAAAAGTATGCACATTCTGCCTATTGCAACTCGCCATGTGCACTTATAAGATGGGTTGGTCAAAAAATTTGAGCCGACCCAATGAATCGGTTAAAATTTTATTACCGCCCTGAAAATATTGTTTGTAATGGGTAAAAACCAATCATGTCTTAGCCCTACTCATACTTAATTTCTCTAGTCCAAATTCCGATTTTTCTTTCAGTCTCGCAATTTTGTAACCCTAGCAAACGTAATACCAAATTATTCCCATCAGATTTCCCTTTGAAGCCGTAAGCCACCAAGTTCATAATCCCTTAAAGCCATAAACCCATGCGAAATTTTTGGAGAAACTTAGCAAAATCGAAGTTCAAACATAGCAACTTTGGAATTATGGAAATTAGGGAATTCACAATAGAAATAGGGGGATAGAATGACGTGTCTCTCCACCTCATATTTAATCTACCAAATAGATTGAGAGTCTATTCCAGCTCGACTTTTAACTGCTAGATAGACGTCAAGTGCGCCGCACGTGACAATTCCGTCCAACTTAATAGGGAAACTTGAGAGCCGAACCAAAAGTGTCAAAAAATGGTGAATTTGAGGATGGATTTCGTGGCGGCAAAAGTTTGAGGACTAAAATTGTTTTAGTGCTACAGTATTGGGAAAAAAACTGTAATTATCCCATAGAGAATGCTTGTGTATTATATAATTTAAGGTAAATTACGGCCACCCTTGAGGTAAGGTCAAATTATGAAAAAAAAAATATTTTTCTATTTCGGTAATTACAACCATACGTTAACTATGAATCTTCTTACATGTCTACCCTTTTGATATCTGAAAGAATTCAATGCCTCCGAATTTGTGTAATTTGAATAACTTGTATAAAATCAAAGATTTCTTTCAGACAATAAATAAAAAAAACTTGTGTTGAGAAAGATTTTGCAGCGGAATATAAATGACACAAGTTTTAAATCATTATCCACAAGTATATATATAATATGTGGATGGTGCCTTCATAGGCGAAAAACAGTATTCAAAAGAATACAAATGAGAAGTCAAGATCTTCTCTTCTAAGAAGAATTCACAAGTTGATTTATTCGTACACCAATTCCTAGACTCTAGAGCTTAACTCTTTAGGAATACAAATCAGTATTCAAAAGAATAGAAATGAGAAGTCAAGATTTTCTCTTTTAAGAAGAAATCACTGATTGATTTCTACGTAAACCAATTCCTAGAATCTATGATGATATTGCGTAGCATCACTATAGCAACACAAATGAGTATTTAATGAGATTGAATACAAATCGACTCAATTATGTAGTGATAAATCCATAAGGAAAACATGGTGTTGTCGAAGATGTTGCCAACACCCGAAACTTTGTGCTCTCAACTCTGCTAAAAATGTGAGAAATGAACTTAGTTCTTCTCCTATTTGTCGAAGAACTTCTTGCCCTGCACGAAATAAATACACTAGGAGAGATAATGGGTTAGTGGATTAAATAAACATGTACTTCAATAACTACCCACTAAGCTAACAATAACCGTCCACTAATTTTAGATATAAATCCGAATTAAAATAATAAATTCTATAATAATAATAAATTTGAAAATAATAAAAATTGATTCAAGAAAGTCAAAACAATCAAATTATATTTGACTCAAAAATCAAATATCTAACAATCTTCCCGTTTTTGACTTTCTTATCAAAACTCAATTTTTCATCAACTCCCGCTGCATAAAATTGAGCTTCCCCTACATTGAAAACTTCGAATCTTCAAACTCCCCCTTAATATCAGATCACATAAAATATTCAACTTAATAAGATAGATTGAGATAATCTCTAAACACATATTGCGTAAGATTCTTCACTCCTATTTATGTAGGGTAAATAGCATAAAATCCCCCTATGTTATGACAAACCTGCACCAAAACCCTTGTTTTCTTTTTATTGCGTAAAATGCCCCTGTATTTCATTTTTTCCTGCATAAAATCCCCATTTCCGTTAATAGATAACACCGTTAACTATAAATGAGATTTTATGCAAGTTTTTTGTAACATAGGGGGATTTGATGCATAGTTTTGCAACACAAGGGGGGTCTAAGCAAAATTAATCTATTCATATAGAATTTAAATTATTTTCTTAAATTAGGTCGAATACATCTATTAATTTAAAATATGAAAACTAAATAATAATATTGAGGATGGAAGTTGGAACGAATTCTCAAATTATTTATGTTCTTTTCACATATAATAAATCCAGAATAAATTATAAAAAGTTATACGAAAATAAGTATACATTTTAAAAAATTAAAAAATTCAATACATTAATAAATTATATCATATAAAAATTGATTTATCTTAAATATAAAAAAACGTTCATCACACCTATTAAATTTGTATTTTTCATACTTTAACTGAATAAATGAGTTCGACTTAATTTTAAAAAAAAATATTATGAAATTTAAACGAATAGATTAAATTTGCATAAAATCCCCTTGTATTGTAATAAATATGCACTAAATCCCCCTCTGTTATGAAAAAAATTGCATAAAATTCCCTCTATAGCTAATAGCGTTAACTTTTAACGGAAGAGTGGATTTCGTGCAAAGTAAAATAAAACACAAGGAGGTTTTACACAAGAAAAAAAAACACAGGAGGATTTGGTGCAGATTTTTCGTAACACGGGGTAGTTTTATGTTGTTTACCCTATTTATGTTAATTTTATAGTCAAACATGTATCAAAGACCGTGACCTTGGGTCTAATACCACTTGTAGGACCTCATCAAGAGCTACTAGTTTTCTTAAAACCAATTGGTATCAGGAATGACGCAAACCATAGCCTTATAGTACATTCAACACGCGTAAGCGCCCACGATATTCGATTGTGGGTCGCTCATACCCAAACCTCCTCACGTGGACAATTGTTGTCAAATCCAGACTAAC